TTCTGATGTTCATTCGCAGCTATAACTTGTATAATGCTGTGTGTCCAACAATAAGTTTTTTTAGTTTTTTTTCTTGAGGCTTGCATATTTTTTCGCTTGCAATATATTTCCTCCTCCACTAGAGAGAAACACTCGCAGTGGGTGGATGCACTTAAATCTGTCATAAGGACGCTTTCCTTTCATGTATTACACATGCACACTTAATTAAATGCAGGTTGAGGTGTTTATATGCCAGGTGAAATCAGTTGGAAAGTGTCGATCGGTTTATGCTTAAGCAGTTTATAACTAGGACTACACCCACACTAAAATCGCAGCTATAACTTGTATAATGCTGTGTGTCCAACAATAAGTTTTTTTAGTTTTTTTTTCTTGAGGCTAGCATATTTTTTTCAATTGTTTTTAACAGGAGGCTTTGCATATTTTAAAAACCGCAAAAGCGTGACAAGGTGTGAACTGTCTGTTCTTTCTCAGCACCGAGAGTTAAAAAATGTTCAACTTTGGGTAAAACGGCACTCGTCACTGACACTTTTTATTCAGCTGTCCAATCACAGTGGAGGAGGTGTACTTGTAGTACTTGTACTACGACTGAATTAAGGTTGGGCGATGTCTACCAAATTGGCATCGGACGATGTCTACAGTGAAACATCGTGACGGACGATGTTATACGGAGCCACTAAAAGGTTAGCCGCTTGCTAGCGGTAGCCTGTTGCATTACAGTACATGAAAGTTCACTTACCACATACAGCGAGTGAGGAGAAATGTCTGATAGGGCGATGGCGAATGATTTGCAGATCCTGAGCACTAATGACAAACATCTAATCTTGTCAAATGTGTGGTAAGTACTGCCACTCCATAGTATAGAGTCCTTGTGATCGTGAATCTCGAACGTGAAAGTAAAATGAGAGCGCGCAATCGAAAGTGGTTTCAATAGCGACTCCCTGATGTCCGCAATTTATATACAGTCGCCTATACTTACCCAACTATATAATTGCGAGAGAAAGTGTTGAAATATTTTTTATCCTCCCGTCTCGTAGGCTATTTATTCCCTTTAGGGTTTCCGTAGTACACTTAATTTCCTTTCTGAACACGGAACTGGGATTTGGCGGATTGCGGGAGAGGGTGTGGTGGGGCGAGGAATTACGATGTCAGCTTAACATCGTGATGTCTGTCAGCATCGTCAGCATTGTCTATCGGCCCAACCCTAAACTGAATGAAGGAAAAGTTCATATTGTTTGTCTCTTGAGTATTCATGTCTGTACCAGATGAATTGCTGGACTACCACCAATACTGCTATGAAAAATAATACTTTTTCTAAAAACTCTGTTCCTCGGAAGTGTATTGGATGAAAGGTGCTTAAAAAAGGGAAGCTTTGGTGAAGGGAAACCCTGGCTTAAGTTACAGGTGATTCATAGGGTCAAATAGAACATGCATTAACAACTCTATTGTTTTTCAATTGTGCTAAAGTGGGATTTCACAGATTATCGGCTGTTTTTAAACGATCCAAAATGCAGATATTTGCTGCTATCATCCAATATCATCCAATGGTATTATGAGAGGTAGCGTAGCCAGGCTTTATATATAATGCTGCAAATAACAACATAACATGAACCCTCTATATATGCTGCTTCAGATAGGGCCCCCGTTTTGCCCTCCTTAAGGACAAAAGTGAAATGCTATGCCTGTATCTAAACACTGTTCTCAGCTGCTGCTGTCAAGTCATGGGGATGGTAATATGATGAGGGAAAACATGAACTGGGGGCTGCATGTCTAATAATAAAGAATTCTCTTACGTAACAGCAGGACACTAACTGTGACAGAGAACGATATGACGGGGGAGTGACAGTGTTGGAGGCTCCATTAGGCTTCTGTTATGTTCTGCACATAAATGATGTGCCTTTTGCATGGCCATGCTTTTGGTGCCAACTTAGCATTGGAGATTGTTCCATCAGCTGTGTTTTCAAGGTTGAGCGGTTTATCGCATGAACCTTTTGGCATGTAAAGTTCTGTAAACACCTTGTTAACTTTTTTTACAGTCTTTGTTATTGATTGTAAACCACATTCAGTAGTCACTGAAATACTGTAATTTATGAGTCTGCTTACTCTTTCTGCTTGATTTTTTTTTTGTCCGCTGTAACCACCTAATTGTAAACCTAACTGTTCTATTGTTTAAAAGTACAATTATCATTTTAATTCACAGTTGCTTTACTGCAACAGGCTTGTTCGTCAAACTCAAATGTGTGTAAATGCAATAAGCATTTTCCTTCCTGAGCTGTTTCGTAGCAAACACTCTAATTGGCATTGATGTTAAGCAGTGAATTGGGAGGTCAAAGAGGGGAGATTTAGGCAAAGACAGATGTCCACTTAATTCCGGCCTTCAATCTGGACCTATATACATTTTCTTCCAGGAAGCCTCAGCATTAATAATACAACACTTGATTTGCTTTCTCTGATCTTTGAATCAAAGTTGAATGCAAGTTTGAGTCTTGCAGTTTCAGCGTGGATTTTTTGTAGAGAAGTTCTCATCGCCAGGCTTGCCACCTTTACTTGCCACCACTGTGCTTTACAGTTGGGATTAGATTTCTATTATTGTACACAGTATGTTGTTTTATCCAAATGTAATGCTTCTCACTTAAAACCAAGACATTTTGTGGACTCATGAGACCATAGAACATTTTTCCTACAGTTCTCTGCATTATCCACATGGCCTTTGGCAAACTTTAAACAGCGAAATGAAATATAAAATGTGATTTGCTGATTTTTCCTTCAAAGGAAAATTAAATAACCTTCACAAAGGTCAACAAAGGTTTGTGTGTATAATCAGATTTTAGGTGAGTTTTTGAAAGATTTACGATTTTTTTTGGATCGTAATATATTATAAAATAAGTTTTATTATTCATTTATCTAGTCTTCAGTGTCACACGATCCTTCAGAGTTCATTTTAATGTGCTGATTTAGTGCTCAAGAAACATTTCTTATTATATTCACAGTTGAAAACAATTGTGCTGCTTCATCCTTTTTTCTTTTTTTTTTTAAAGATGTTCAAGAGAACATGTGAAATAGAATTGTGTAACAATGTAAAATACTTGTTTTATTATCAGTTTTCATCCTTGCTGTAAAAGTATTAATTTCTTTCAAAGCAAACAATCAAACAAAAAAATTGGTTAGGCTATATTTTATTTTAAGGTGTCCGAGTTACAGTGTAATTATTGAGTGAGTAATATTAATTAACTACATGTACTTACTATATGGTTAGGAATAGGGTTTGGCATATGGTTACTTGCATGTAATTATGTATAATTTATTGGTATTACAATAGTAAGTACATGTAACATGTGAAACAAGGACACAGTTAAATAAAGTGTTACCAAAAAAATCTAACTGACCTTAAACTTTTGAATGGTAGTGTACATGTTACTTTTGAAATAAACTTGCAAAATGCAGTGTGTTGCACTCAGCTCTCTGTAATTCTCCAGTGATCTCTGGAAATCACCTGATTAAATCACTTGATCGCTTCTCCTGCTAAAGCTAATTAGGATTTAACCTCTCTTAACTATGTTACGGCATCTCTTGGCTTGTTTAAAGCTGTTCTTGAAAAATGTGATGTGTAGAACACTGTTTTCTTAAAGAGATAGTTTACACAAAAATAATGTTGTTATAAATCTGTATGATGTTCTTTCTTCTATTGAATATTAAAAATGTTAAATATTAAAAAAATATATTTTGAGATTTTTTTGGCTTGTTTGTTTGTTTTTGTCACAAACTCTTTTTGTTACCAACATTCTTTAACATCTTTTTTTTGTGCTTCACCCAATTAAATTCATGTAGTCTTAGAATGGCATTAAAGTGATTAAATAGCAGAATGGGTGGTTACAGACTGGGAGAGAACTGTAAGGATGTGTAGTATGGTCCTGTGGACCATTTCCTAAGATTTTGGAATCTGTTCATTTCATATTTTGCTGTATTGTGAACAGTTTTCACCTTTTAAAACTAACTGATGTGATTCTAAGACCAGTATGTTGTTGTTTTTTTGTCCCACAGATAACCATAAAACAGTTTAACTGAAACAGAAGGACAGAATGGTGACTATGCAGACAACAAGGCTATAACAGGCCTAACTACCTTGGTAAGTCTGTACACTGCTGTTTATCGCTGCCATGTGCCCCATGGCTTGCTTTACAATGTACTTTACTGGACAATCTCAGTCACTTGTTGCAGACTCTTAACTAAACTCATAACTAAATCAGAATCAAAATACACAGTATTCATAGTCCATAAGAACTGTATTTTAAACAGGGGTCTCCAAATCTGTTCCTTGAGGGCTCCCTTTCTGCAGACTTCAGTCAGAAATTGGGAGATGGGAGATGAGAGGGTCTGTATTACTTACTATTGGAGAAAGCAGAATGGTCAACTTGGATCATGTGTGCCTTAATAACTAATCACATTACAGCATTGACACTGCTGAATTTCAATCAGAGTTGTGCGACACTAGGATCGAATGAGAAATGCTTTAAGCTGAATCACACCTGTCGCAAAAAGTCAGTGACTTTTCTTATAAAACTGAATTTTTATTTATGTAAACTCTAAAAATAGTTCAATCCAAAAGTATTGTTTAGTGTAAAACATTTTGAAGATTAGCCGATAGGCTCTCGATTCATTAAAAAAGTTGTTTCCTCTAAAAAGCTGGTTATTCAGCATAGTGAAGCGGCCTCTGTTCTCCTTTCCTGCGTACTGCCAAAGCAGAAGCATTAGCATTAGCCATTACCAAGCTGTAATTATCAAGCTACTCCAAACACCTTGATTAGCTGCTTCAAGTGTGTTTGACTGGGGTTGGAGCTGAACTCTGTGGGACTGTAGCCCTCAAGGAGCAGGGTTGGAGAGACCCTGATTTAAAATAATTACCATACTGTAGCTTTTACTTTGAGATCGATGATAAATTGTCTCCATAAGGTAAGCATTGCATGTCACTGACAGAATCATTTTCTTGCTCCTCTAGATCCGGGATGGGAAACTCTGAGAGCCAGTATAGCATCCAGGGTTCTAGAAGCAATAGTTTTATCATTCCTGGTAGACAGAAACCCTATTCTTTCAAGGGCCACTCTGCCAAAGAAGACGTTTTATCACCTCTAGGCTTTTGGAATGCTGGTTCAGGATACTCTGGATTGAAGCCCAGAAACATAGGTCGTAGCTCCTCCCCATCAAAGAGCAACCGCACCTTTATGTCCCGCCAATATGACTACATCACCCATAAACTAAAGAGTGGTGCCAATAGTCAGTGGAATGGGGTTTCTGAGGACTTGCTGCCTGGTGGCTGCTTGACATTGCCTTCTGAAAATGGCTGCTTGTATGGTAGTCACAAGGAGAAAAGGAACCTTAATTATGCTGTTAACACAATGAAGACACTAGAGAAAAGTCCCAGGCTTGCGGAAATGGAGGATCAGAGCAGCCCCAGGGTCGTTATAAAGAAAGATGGTAGTGTACGAGTAGAATTCAACAACAGTTCCAACAGTGCTCTTATTTTGGATGATTGCACTGGACCAGTTCAGCTCCTCAAGTTTTCTCCAACCTTAGAGTCCAATTCTTGCTTATCTGGTGTAACACCATCATTAGAAGCCCATTTTGGAGCCCCACAGGCAGTTGCCAGCTTCAAGAGCAGTAAAGGTAGCTCTCTGAGCTCAGATGGCTCCTTGTACGACTTGCCCTGGGGGAATAGTGTTGAACTTCACGATTCAGACAATGGATCCCCTAACAGCCAAAGTATTTCAACAAAAGTGGGTTTTCTTGCTGAGCAGTTGCCTGCCATTACTACAGCTGACCTCTACAGGGATCCCAGAATTGCTGCCACCTTCCCCACGGTTAAGGATTTGCAGTTTTCAAATAATAGCCATTTAAAGCACAGGTCCTCCTTTGTGTCTGTGATGGAGGAACTCGGGTCAGAGGGGGGCCAGGAGGAAAAGCAATATTCTTCCTTCACCTTACCTAGCCAGAAACCAAAGCCTTTTCTAGACAATAATGGAAAGAAAGTGTCCATCAGGAACAGAATTAGGCGTATTAGTGACTGGACTGGAAGTTTGACCAGGAAAAAATGGAAGTTTCAGGTAAGGACAATTTTTTTGGTTGGTTGTTTCCATTTCCATTTCATTTTCATTCCATTTATTTTATTTAAAAAGTTGGATGATGTAATTGGAACCCAATGTGTCCAACCCCTGTCTACAGTTCCTTTTTAAAATCAGTCTTATATTGTTAGTGGTGCTTGTTGAGGCAAGCATTGCCATTACTATTGCTCACTCTCAGTGCTAAGAATTGCAAAAAACTGTATCTTGTGTAAGATTTGTCAGTAAACGGGCATTGTTATGATTAGCTGACAGCATCTCTCTCTCCCTGTAACCTCACTGCTCATCCTTACTGGGCGGGTTATGAAAGTGAAATTGTAAACATTGTCCCAAATGCCACACTTAATGTGCACTTGCTGTCCTGTAAACTCGCAATGGCCAATTTTGGTATTTGTGCTGTGGATGTGAATGATTCCTGAAATTGTGTTGCTTGTTGAGAATAGTGTCATAGTACAAGCTATCTGACTTGCTATTTTCGCCTAAAACTTTTAAGGAAAATGCTTAAGGACAAGATATGAATTAACACGGATTATTATCAATCATCAAAAGAGACCCTGTCATTGGTTTCAAGGTAGTCACTTACTAACTGTTCATGTTAAAGTAATACTGTTAGTATGTACAATATAACTGCATGCATGATTGCTTAACACACTATTTTAAATGTTCCTTATAGTTCTGCCATCACAATGCAGTAATTCCCTACACTCGCATCTTAACTATAGCGCATGAGCTCAAAATGGGCCTAAAATGCTAAATAATATGCCTAATTAAGGATGGTAAAGATTAATTTCCAAAAGCATAAAAAACAAAATAACATTTGAAAAGCTATAATTACTGGAAACAATATATTTTCTTATACCACCACTCACATTTCCTTTTTATTTGTTTAGTCATTTTTAGCCACATGCCTTATATCAGTGCGAGAATGACTGATGAGTGCAAGCATCAGTCCGTTGGGTTATTGACTGTTGTTACTTGTGCCAGGTGCCGCTGTGGG